ACAGTTTAAATAGCATGTAGCTAACTTATCTTCCAAGTAATTAATCTACATCTCAGATAAACAATATAAAGTTTCATCAACATTGTTTAAAATCATTTAAACATTAATTTTAATTGTTAAAACAATTAAATTAATCATTTCATCCAAGCTAAACAACATATAGGTTATTTAATTTCCAAACTATCCACATCTTTAGCATATATGGGAATATTATGCATTCTAGGATCTTTCCAAGTCTATTAAACCTATCTGTAAGGATTAAATCCAGTTTAAAACAACTTTGGCCATTAAAACCCAAAAACCCAAGTCGCAGCCCAACCGAGTCGGCTCGGTTACAACTGAGTTGGCTCGATTGCCAATTGAGGCGACTCGGTTACCAACCGAGTCGGCTCTGTTTGTTCCGAGGCCCCAACTCAGTCGACTTGGTTCTAATCGAGTCGGTTGGGTTAGCAACTTAGGTGACTCAGTTGTAACTGAGTCGGCTCGGTTCGCCTGGACTTTGGCTTCTTTGTTGGTTCAGCCTCTGTAAACCTTAAAAACTCCATAGTTAAGGGTCCTAAACTCCAATAGAAGTCGCATACATCTATACTAAATTATTTTAAGTATTTTAACACATAAATATTCAACTTAAACAACAGTTTAGGCATAAAAAATCTAAGAATAAAGAAATCACGAATATGCATCTATTATCATGAAATTCTCTGTTTTAGTCCGATTAAGCATGCATAATTATTCAGTTTTAATTATTTAAGTCTCCTGGAATATCCTAGGCATGTATAAAAACACAGATCAAAGGGAGAGAGTGAGAGAAGAACTTGCCTTCAAGGTTTCAGAATGAGAACCTTAAACCTCATTCTCTGCGTTCTTCCTCTGATTCCGGCGACCTTTGGTTGCCTTCACAGACCTCTCTACTACACAGTCCTAGCCCATGTATAGCCTCTCCTTCCTCCTCCTAGGGTTTAGCCTTGAATCCCTTGGCCAAACTCTCTTTTCTCTCCTCTGTTTCTCTCTAACAACTCTCTGTTCTCTGTCTCCTTTAACCCACGTAAAATAAACCTATATTACACATATATACGCTACATATATAAAACCCTCATTCTATTCATTCCCCAATTCTAATTATCTTAACTTGATTAAAAGGAAAAAGAAAATAAAAAATATATATATAATACATATATACACAAGTCTGGTGAATATTAATATATATATAAAATATTGTTGAGGCTGAAATTCGCCGCGACCTGGTACGACACCATTTCCTGCAAAACCAAGATGGTAAAGTCAAACACCGGTGTGGTGCTGGCCGTTGACCCTCCAACGATCAAGTTAGTAGGAGATAAATAATTTTTTATCGTAATTTCCCTCGTATGAGATCTTTTTGTGTGTACCTTATTCCCGAGTCGTCTTCGTATTTATAGTCACTTCCCTTATTCTTGATAAGGGAATTTCATCATCCTTAGCCCATGGAGTTTATCCCGTAGAAATCTTATCCTTGATAAAATTTGAACTTACCCCATGACAAATCTTATCCTTGATACGATTTGTCATCATTCTCATTCAATAGAAATGGTTATCCTTGATAACGAGATATTATCGCTTAAAAGTTAAAGAGGTCTGGCGGCTAGTCAATACTTAATAACCTCTGTCATTAGGTCAAGATAGGTTAGGGTTATTTTTCCCTATCAGTTGTCCCCTATTTTCGGGTACGTTTTGGACCAAGGAAATACTTTCTATATTTTATTTTTTCCTTTTTACTACAAGCTCCTTCCATATTATAATAGGACTCCTTTACAAGAACTTCACTGTTTCTTGAAAAAGAATTTTCCTATAAATAAATAAATTTATTTATTTACCTCCTTTTTTTTTGAATGAAATCCTTTAAACTGGATCCTAACTGTGAGTTTCTTGTGGATCGTTGTAGACACGAAATTGGGTCAGGTCGTCTCTGCTGGGTTATCGGTGTAATTCCACAGTGGTTTCATTATTTTTGTGATATCCAATATCTCATCATGTCCGTGCAGGAAAATAACTTGAATATTGAATCCCAATCTGAAGACTCAACCTCTGAAAGTGTTGAAGAACTTGATCCTAATTATGTTGACGAACCTGGTGTTGATTATTCCTCAAGACCAAGGACTGCTTTTTCCAGGCAACCTCCACGTGAAGGAGAATCCTTAATTAAGGATGAGAATTTACAGAATTGTAGATTCAAATATTCCATTCCTCATCTATTCACCTTCACAAACCCAAGCCAGAAGATAGATGTTCTTCTATTCATTTGGGCGAGGTATGCTTTTTCGAGTCGACTTTTGCTGCGGGCTTACGTTTTCTGATTCATCCATTTGTAGAAGAAATTCTTTCTTATCTGAAGATAGCTCCCTCTCAAATTGCCCCTAATTCCTGGAGAATTATTATAGGCTGTTTGATTGTTTGGGGAAGGTGTGGCAATGGTCGTCTAACTGTAAATCAATTCTTGAATTTTTATTATCCCAAGAAGAAAAAGGATAACTTTTGGTACTTTCAGTGTCGATCAAGGAAGATATTCCTCCTTGTTGCAGCTCCTGAAAATAATAAAGGTTGGAAGAGTCGTTTCTTTTTTATTTCCGGTGCATACGAGAAATTTCCCAGTGTTTGGCGTAATTTAAACCCTACAGGTATGATATATAACAATGTATATATATATATATATTCTGAACAGTACCCGCGGGTACTATTCATGTGAATAGTATTCATAATTTTTTTTTTTAAAAATTGTGACTAGTACCCTCCGGTACTATTCCCGCAGGTACTATTCATGTGAATAGTACTCACATTTTTTTTTTTTTTTTAAAAAACTGTGAACAGTACCCCACGGGTACTATTCCCGCAGGTACTATTCATGTGAATAGTACTCACAAAATAAATTTTTTTTTTAACGGTGAACAGTACCCCCGCGAGTACTATTCCAGCGGGTACTATTCATGTAAATAATACTCACAATTTTATTTATTTATTTATTTTTTAACCTGTGAATAGTACTCGTAAGTACTATTCCCGCGGGTACTATTCATGTGAATAGTACTCACAAAATAAATTTTTTTTTCCCCTGTGAATAGTACTCACAAATTTTTTTTTTAAAACCTGTGAACAGTACCCGCCGGTACTATTCATGTGAATAGTACTCACAAAATATATATATATATTTTTAAGAGAATTGCGACTTACAATTCCGTTTTCCAGACTTTAAAGAATATGTTGGTAACGCCCTTGCACACCCAGTGAAGACCTTTAGTGATCTTATGATGGAGGAAGCTCTAGAATTGTATGTACGAGCTACTAGCTCAACTGAATCCCTCACCCATTCAGAGAAAGGTAAGAAAAATAAAGGTACTTATACGTAAAGTTACTAATTTTAGTTAATATTTTATTAAATATTTTCCTTACTACTCTTTATATAGGCCAGAAACTCAGTAAAAGGCTCCTAGCCCAAGTCTGGTCAAGTAATCTTCCCTCTACTCCTGCTTCCAAGAAATTATGAAGGGTAGGAGAGCAAAATCATACTAGGTCTTCAAACCCTGGTGTATTACCAGGTCCCACTCCTATATCCCTAGGTTTCAGTGGGTTTGGCGGGGTTCCTACGAGTTTCGAGAGTTTTAGTTCGGTATCAACCAACCAGGCATTTTCCCAAGGGGAGTCGATTCTCGATAACGCTAATGTCGCGTATGATAGGCTACATAAAATGGTAGTAAAAGACGATGCTGCCAGATTGCAGAACTTGTCAGCATCTGAGTTTTCAAGGAAATTTCTTCATCTAATTAGCCAGGTGAGATTTTACCCTTATCATGTGCATCTCTTTCTTTTTCAACTATTTGCCACTATTTATTTATTTATGTATTGATTTATAGGGCACTACATACTCTGTTGTTATTGCAAAAGAATATGAAAAGCTTTCCCTAGAGATGGCTTCCCTCAAGGCTAAATACGAAGATGTTACTTCTATGCTTAAAAATAAAGAAGATGACTTGGCTAATGCGAAATTAAACTTTCAAGATGAGAAAGTGAGACTTACCAAAGAATACTTCGATAAGCTGGAACTTGAGTAGTTAGCTGCCGTCGAGTGCTTTAAAAATTCTAACGAGTTCAAGGTGCTCATAGCCAAGGCTTGCTGTGATGGTTTTGACCAGTTTAAAGCTCTTGTCAGCAAAGATCGTCCAGACACAGATTTTTCTATGTATGATATTCTAGCAGAGAGTGAAGAGGAAGATTGAACTCCATAGTAATAGTCATATATATATATATATATATTAGGTTTTTTTTTTTTTTTTTAGCATGTCGATCCCTTAGAACTGTTCAGAATATCTCTCAACTTAGAGAATAGTTTCTCTTCTTTTGACATCTCTCAACTCAGAGAATAGTTGTTTTTCTTTTGACATTTTGTCTTTCATGATATTGCTTCATACTCGTTACTTCCGTATGTAAAATTTCTTTTACTTTTTCAGGCTTCACTCAGCCTATCCTTCTTCTGAAGGAATGTCTTTTTACGAGCTTCACCCAGCTCATCCCTTTAGTAAGGGAATATTTCTTTTAATAAAGAAATGGACTTAATGCTTTACTAGTCCTTTCGTGACTTATTAAATTCAGTAATAACGTAATCAGTAGTAGAAACACGTGAAATAAATACGAATTTTATTAAAGACTTATCGAAAACAATATTCGATAGTCGAGCATCAGTATCCATTAAACATTGGTCTGCTTTATTGAAGCTAAAAACATACTATCACTTTTAAAAGTGAGATAATAAGACATAGCCTGTACCTACTGGTAATATTTCCTCAAATGTTCTGCATTCCATGGGTGGAGAAATTGGCTCCCACCAAGTGTCTCTAACTAATATGCCCCCAGTCTGTTGCACTGGGTTACTCGATAGGGGCCCTCCCAGTTGGGAGCTAACTTTCCTTCCCCCTTCACCATAGTAGCCGGGGTAACCTCACGAAGCACCAGGTCCCCTGGCTCGAACCTCCTTAGCTTGACCCGGGCGTTGTAATACTTGGATACCATCCGTTGGTAAGCTGCAACCTTGATTTGGGTCTGCTCTCTTTTTTTTCTATCAAGTCCAAGTTTAACTGTAGTTCCATCTCGTTCTGTTGAGGTTCAAAATACTTGGTTCTGAAGGTAGCAAACTTTATTTCTACAGGGATCACAACTTCACTTCCAAAAGCTAACCCAAAAGGGGTCTCCCCAGTGGGGGTTCTTACGGTAGTGCGATAGGCCCATAAAACTCCGGGTAGTTGTTCACGCCATAAGCCCTTGGCCTTTTCTAGGCGTGTCTTGATCATCTTTAGTATTGTCCTATTTGTGACCTCAACTTGCCCTTTGGCTTGGGGATGGGCAGGAGAAGAGAAATGAACTTTGACCCCAAGTTCATTACAAAAATCAAGGAATTGCTCACTTTCAAATTGCTTCCCATTATCGGTCACAATTACCCTTGGTGCTCCGGACCTGCAGATTATTGTCTTCCAGAAAAACTTTTTTACTTCATTCGCTCCAATATGAGCTAACGGCTCAGCCTTCACCCATTTGGTGAAATAATCGATAGCCACAATTGCGTATTTAGTTTATCCCTTCCCTTGGGGTAAGGGGCCGATGAGGTCCGTCCCCCATTAGGCAAAAGGCCACGGCCCTGTAAGAGGGTTAACTCTTCTGCTGGTCGTTTCGGGACATTGCGAATCTCTGGCACTTGTCACATTTCTTCACAAACTCAAGGGCATCTTTCCTCATAGTAGGCCAAAAGTATCCTTGTCGGATAGCTTTATGCGCTAGTGATCTGCCCCCAGCATGGTTTCCACAAAGGCCTTCATGTATATCCTTTAGAATGTAATTCGCCTCATCTATAGAGACACAATGCAAGTAGGGTAAAGAAAATCCCTTCTTGTAGAGAACCCCTTTAATGAGGCAATATTTTGCCGCACGCATCCTGATCTTTCGTGCTTCCATGCGATCCTGGGGTAGCTTTTCATTCTCTATGTACCTGATAATGGGTTCTGCCTATTCCATACCTTGGATCACCTCGTGTATTTTCTGTGGCCAATCCCAAACTATGCTAGGCTCATCCAAATGTTCCATAGGTATAGCTTTATCCTCCTCTGCTGCGGTTGCTAATCAGGCTAAGGCGTCTGCTTGAATGGAAAACTTCTTAAAGAAGCCTTTGATATCTTCTATCTTATGCAGATAGGTCTTCATCTTCTCATCCTTTGCTTCATATTCCCCCTGGACTTGTCTAGTTATTAGTTGAGAATCAGTATACGCTATTAGTCGCTCAACTTCTAGGGCTTTAGCCATCCTGAGGCCTACCAGGAGTGCTTCATATTCCGCCTCATTGTTGGTTGCTCTAAACCCAAACCTGAGGGCGTATTTAATGCATTCCCCCTCTGGGGAAACAAGTACTAGCCCTTCCCCACTTGCACGGGCGTTGACCAATCCATCCACATACAATGTCCAAGTAGATTCAGTTTCTTCTTGTTCATCTACGCCGTGCTCGTGCCTATCTTTTGGTGTGAATTCTACTATAACATTTGCCAGTACCTGAGCTTTTAAGGCCGTTCTGGGTTTGTATTGGATATCAAACTCTCCAAGTTCTACTGACCACTTCATGAGTCGCCCCGAAGTATCAGGTTTGCGGAGGACTTGCCTAAGTGACTGGTCTGTCAATACTATTATGGTATGTGCTTGGAAGTAAGGCCTGAGTTTCCTTGCAGAGACAACCAAGGCAAGGGCCAACTTTTCTATCCTTGGGTACCTCTCTTCTGCCCCTCTGAATGCATGGCTAGTATAATATACTGGCTTCTGGATTCCATCCTCTTCGCGGACTAAGGTTGAACTTACTGCAGATGGAGAAACCGCCAAGTACAAATACAACTGCTCTCATTGCATTGCCCATGATAGTAATAGTGCTGAAGTGAGATACTCCTTCAGTTCTGTAAAAGCTTGCTCACACTCAGGTGTCCATGAAAAAGCTTTCCTGAGCACACGAAAAAAAGGCAGGCATCTATCCGTTGCCCTGGAAATCAACCTGTTCAGAATGGCGATTCTTCCTGTCAATCTTTGAAGTTCCTTAGTCGATGCTGGAGACCGCATGTTGAGAATTGCCTGGATTTTCTCGGGGTTGGCCTCTATCCCTCTCCTGCTTACCATGTAACCAAGGAATTTCCCTGAGGAGACACCAAAAGCACATTTGTCTAGGTTGAGTTTCATTTGGTGTTTCCTAAGGACTTGGAATGTCTCCTATAGATCAACTAGGTGGTCCTGAGCTTTCAAGCTTTTTACCAGCATGTCATCCACATATACCTCCATATTCCTTCTGATTTGATTCTTGAACATCAAGTTGACTAGCCGCTGGTATGTTGCACCAGCATTTTTAAGCCCAAAAGGCATCACCTTATAGCAATACAAACCTCTGTCCGTGACAAAAGAGGTCTTTTCAATATCTGGTGGATGCATTAAGATTTGGTTATATCCCGAATATGCATCCATGAAACTGAGCAACTCATAGCCAGCCGTTCCTTCTACTAACATGTCGATTCTTGGCAGAGGGAAGCTATATTTGGGGCACGCCTTATTTAAATCGGTAAAGTCTACACACAACCTCCATTTTCCATTGGCCTTTTTTACCAAAACAACATCGGCCAACCAATCGGGATAATTGACCTCTTGGATGAAATCAGCTTTCAGAAGCTTGTTCACCTCTTCTGATATAGCCATGTTCCTCTATGCGGCAAATGTTCTTCGTTTTTGCCTGATAAGTTTGACTGTGGGATCCGTGTTTAATCGATGCTCGATCGTAGCTGGATCAATACCAGACATTTCTTTATATGATTATGCGAACACATCTTGATTCTGTCTGAGGAATTGTACAAGAGTATTCATGAAGTGTGAGGGGAGTAGAGACCCTATCTTCACCTTTTTTGTTACGTCATTGTCATTTAAGCATATCTCCATCAGGTCCTCAATTGACTTGGCTCGATCTCGCTCCTGTTCTTCAATTTCTTTGACAACCAAAGCCTCTTGCTTCTTCTTTTCTCTCAGAGACGCAACATAGCATTCTCTGGCAATGGTCTGATCTCCTCTTAGTTCGCCTACGCCCTGCTCTGTAGAGAAACGCATCAAGAGGTGATAAGTCGAAGTGATCGCCCTCATCGAGTTTAAGGTAGTTCTTCTTAGGATAACATTGTAAGCAGATGGGCAATCCACCACCAGGAAGTCTACCATAACAGTAACTTGTTTCGGGCTGGTTCCTGCAGTGACAGGAAGAATGACCGCTCCCAGAGGGTAGACCTTATCTCCCGTAAATCCCACCAGTGGTGATCTAGTAGGTCTGAGTTTCTCCTTACCAATATTCATTTTGCTGAATGCATTAAGGAAAATGATATCAGCCGAACTTCCATTATCCACCAAGATCCGTCGAGTAGTATAATTAGCGATCATCATGGTGACAACGAGAGGGTCGTCATGGGGTTGTTGCACGTCCTTAATATTTTTATCTGAGAATGTGATAATAGGATCACCAAGACGTGGCATTTTTTCGTGTGGATTCTGTATTCCAACTTTGCAAACTTCAGATGAGTTTCGCATTTTCCTGGCATAGGCCTTACGGGCTGAGCTTGATTCTCCACCACCTGCACATCCCCCGGCTATGACCCTGATTTCTCCCATTGGTTGTTGATCAGGGAGGCGGTTATCTCAACCTGCTCTAGGTAGATTAACGTCGGTTCTGTCATTCCGCATAATAAATTTTCGCATGTGCCCCCTTCGGATCAAAGTCTCAATCTAATCCTTGAGGTCGAAGCAATCCTTTATGGCGTGCCCATGGTCTTTATGGAACCTACAGTACTTATCACGAGGTCTCCTCGCTGGGTCTGACTTCAATTTTGGTGGCCACTTCAGATATGGTTCATCCTGGATCTATAGAAAAACTTGATCTATTGGCATATTTAAAGGAGTGTAATTTGTATATCTCTCCGCGCTCTTATAGCGAGACGCCCTTTCATTCTGGTTGATCATAGGTTTTTTATACTTAGTTTCCGTTTCATCTTTGGTTATCAAAGCCGGCCTTTTCTTGTCTGCCTTCTTATCATCCCATTCTTTCCCCTTTCTTGCCATAATTGCATCTTCAGCATTCATATGTTTTTTAGCTCGAACTAGTAACTCGGCCATGCAGGTAGGGGGTTCTTCTGATAAAGAGAAGAGAAATCTCGAGGTTTGGAGTCCTCCCATAAAGGCGGCTAAAGCCACCTTGTCATCCGCTTCCTCTACCTGCAACATTTTCGTATTGAAACGACCAATGTAGTCTCACAATGACTCTCCTTTTTGGTGTTTTACAGTAAGAAGGTAGGTAGCCGGCCTTCTATGCTTTTGGCCAGCAATGAAGTGTCCCACAAAACGCTTACTTAATTCTTCAAAGGTTTCGATGGTCCATGGCTTCAGCTTGTTAAACCACACTCGTACCGATCATTTGAGAGTTGTTGGGAAAGCCCTGCACATGATCTAATCTGGCATCACATGCAAATGCATTAGTGCTTGAAAAGTCTTCAAGTGGTCGATGGGATCTTTAGTTCCATCGAAACTCGCAATTGAGGGCATTCTAAATTTACTCGGCAAGGGGCATTTCATAACCGAGGGGCTGAACGGCAAGTTGGTCTTCTGCACCAAACTATTTATGGCTGCAATACCTTTTCCCTTTATGGCCTGCATCACATCCTCTATCTTTGCCTTGAGATCTTGTATCTCTGGGTCAACGTAGGAAATCTCCTCTGTCTTTTCAACGACAGTTGTGTTTTCATGAGGTCGGGAACTCTGTGGAAGAGATGGGTGGATCACTTCTCTATGTCGGTTCCCTACCTGGCTTTGTTCCACTTCGGTCTCATGTCGAGGAGGATGATTATCCTGCTTTTCAGGATTCCCATTACCTCTTGAGAGATCTTGTCATGGCAAGTTCTGTTGAACCGGTGGAACAAGGTGTTGCAGGATTGCTGCATTTTGCTGGATCAACTGGTCCATACCCTGATTCAGAGTTTGGACCTGTTGTTCCAATGCTGCAAGCCACTCCTGGTCATTTGGGATGTCTAGGTTTTCACCCGACTCTTCCCTTTGACCAGATCCCTGTAACGATGTTCCTTCGGTGACCATACCGGATCACAAACGTATCTACCCAACTGAGTATTAATATAAGGGAATTGTCGTTCCCACAGACGACGCCAACTGTTGAGGCTGAAATTCGCCACGACCTGGTACGACACCGTTTCTTACAAAACCAAGACAGTAAAGTCAAACACCGGTGTGGTGCCGGCTGTTGACCCTCCGACGATCAAGTTAGTATGAGAGAAATAATTTTTTTTATCGTAATTTCCCTAGTAGGAGATCTTTTTGTGTGTACCTTATTCCCGAGTCGTCTTCGTATTTATAGTCACTTCCCCTATTCTTGATAAGGGAATTTCATCGTCCTTAGCCCATGGAGTTTATCCCGTAGAAATCTTATCCTTGATAAAATTTGAACTTACCCCATGACAAATCTTATCCTTGATACGATTTGTCATCATTCTCATCCAATAGAAATGGTTATCCTTGATAACGAGATATTATCGCTTGAAAGTTGAAGAGGTTTGGCGGCTAGTCAATACTTAATTACCTCTGTCATTAGGTCAAGATAGGTTAGGGTTATTTTTCCCTATCATATATAATTTAATAATATATCTATATATATATATCTACACTAACTATCCCAACTATAATACTATTACTATTATAATAAATAATTAATAATAGAAATACTGAAACTATCCTTATATACAATATACCCATATATATATTTACAACTATCCATGAGTAATATTCGTACCCATTACACCTCCTATCTAAGTAGTCCATGTAACCCATTAGGTTGGTCCATTACTACTATCCAAATCCATTAGAATAAAATAAAATAAAAGAATCATTTAAAT